CTTTTTATTTTTTAGTATCAATACCCTCAATAGCTTGTCCTGCGGGAAGGAAGACACGAGCTGACGGCTCCGCTGTTATAACTACGAGCTACGACCTAGATAGAAATGGTGAAGATTCGTTTCTATCGATCGCGATACAGCCGATGTATTGACCCTGCTTGCTATAACATCGCGAAGCGCCGAGATAATCCCAAATATATCACATTTCGTTACACTTAGAGACGATGGACGCTGAGATAAATGATGTAGACAATCCTAAAAAGATCCCACAGTCGCCAAGATTATACCGCAACAATTCACCTTACCACCACCCATCACTGACTGAAACACGATGAGTGGTATAACTTTGCTTCCATTCTACACTCTTTCGATTTAAACTACGAAAAAAAATCGCCTGATACCCTTTCGACGAAAAATATTCGAACACTGGGCTCCATGCTAGGCTCCTTATTAGGGTTATTAATCTATTGCACTCGTAACGGTGGAATTATATGATTAAAACTCAATAGAAATTCAGAAATCAGTCTAACATGCTATTATTTTAATTGTATTGCAAGAATAGGAATTAATAATTTATTCGTGTAGGATAGACGTTAATATATTTTGGGAACAGGTTTACATTATTATTACAGACAACTTGCAATGTGTAATAAAATGTAATTGAAAGCACAATAATTGACGGTAGAATTCAAAATCGGAAGATTACCATTCACAATGCAATATTAGGTCACCGAATATTTTAGTTTTTTCCACACTCTGAAAATCCTTGAAATATTTATATTATTTTGTGTTTACCATTTTTGCAGGGAGTGAAATGAATTATACATAATGTACAATTAATTGTAATTTGTGTGGAAATTGTAATAACTGTTAAGTGAACTAATACATTTTTACACTTTGTCTTTATCTACTGAAAATTCTTTCAAGACTCCCCGCCAAGAATTATGTTATATGATTCAATTTAATTAATGAAGTTGATTGTTTAGGGGTAGACTTTAGTATTTACCCGTATATACGGTGAACTGTATCGCCTCCCGATTGCTCATCTGGGAATCCGGGACTTCCCAAACTCAAGACCTTGAAAATTAGTACGGAAAAATACTACCAGGTGTACGTCCGCCCAATTTTTCAGTTCATCTCCACATTTTCTGCCTTGGACTAAAAAGCCTTCACCAATGGCAATAATTATTAAACCACTTGAAAGTATTTTCTCGACTTGTTAATATTTCCTCTTCAGTTTTTTAATATAAAAAATAGAAGTGGCAATTAAATCGCAACTCCCGAGGACGAGACAGCGAAATATAAT